AAAGGTCTGGAAAGGTCTGGAATGTGCTACGTGCCCCTTGACCTCACCCCAACTTGTGTTAGAGTTTAATTCTTATCATGAAGAGAGAAAGAGGATGAAAACCTGATTTCACTATGGTGTTCAAAGAAAGTCTTTGGGATGTGGCTAGGATTAGAAAAGGTCCTGAGGGTTGAGTCCCCATGATGGGATACTGGGCACTCTACAAGAGGAGAGAGACCAGAGAGATACATTGCCACATGTGGCTCAGGTCTATGCAGGTCAACTTGAGAAAAGGCCTATTTAGGCTCATGGTTTTAGAGGTTCTAGTCTGTGGTCAAATTACCAGAGGCTGGGAGGTGTGGTCAGCTGGCCCCATTGTTTTCAGGCCTCTGGCGAAACAGGGTGATGACAGGGTGATGGAGAGAGATGCTGACCTCCTGGCAACAGAAAAGAAGAGAGGAGAGGAGGGAACAAGGTCTGTGAATGGATGAAGGGCAAGACAATCTTTCAAAGGCACTCCTCCAGTGACCAACTTCCTCTAACTAGGCCCCACCTCCTAAGAGCCCATCAACCTATGAACTCAACAGTAGGTTGAGCATTGAACATATTAGCATCTTCATGAACCAATCATCTCTCAGTGACACCATGAGACAGGCCTTCAATCTGCGAATGAGCTTTTTGTGGGGGCGGCACACATTTGATATCTAAACCTTAATGTGATGACCTACGCCTCCCAGGACTCTACTAGGATGAAGGCTGCCACAGATGAAGCCGCTCCACCTTGGTCTTCTAAGAACCACGATCCCCAATGACAATTTCCTTATTTAAAACATATCCATAAACACACAGTGTTGTTACCCACATGGAGCAGACTGACAGAGTACTCTTCGCCTATGAGAAATGAAATATCATAAAATAGCTGATTCTAATCTCAGGATCGCATTACTGTAGATGACCCTCCACCTTGCCCTGTCCATGCTCCGGGGCTGTAGTTGCTTCTCCGCACTTTCCAGGAGTTGCAGATGAAAGCAGATGACCTGTTGAGCCTGCCTTGACCTGTGGAATCAGTCCTTAGCTCTCAAGGGTTGCTGAATCTAAGCAAGGTCAAGAGAGCCCTTTAGGGAAAGTCAATTTAGAATTTTATGGGACTGAAAAGGTGCCCAGGGAATGCATAAAAATGTGGATCTGTGCACTGACATGATCCAATGCACAGTCCTTAGAAGTCCTAAGTGGGCCTTCAAACCTTCTCAGCGTAACATGGCATTTTAAACTGGCTTGTCACAAAGGGCTTGATTGTGCCAAGATCCTCTCTGTTAACACAATCTTCCTCCTTCTATAGGGGTATAGGGGTAGCTCTTCCTTGCTTCTTAGCCAGCTCCAATGCCCTGTGGCTAACTAGTGGCTTGGCTCTGCACTCTGATCTCCAGGCAAGCTTTATTTATTCCAGTACAAACAAAATATCACCACCTAACTCACAGGCAGGTCTTCTGCTCCTGCTGTCATGTCTTCCCTGCTATGATGGACTATCTCCCCTCTGGACTGTAAGCTAAAATTAGACCCTTCTTCCCAAAGTTGCCTTTTATCAGGGAATCTTATCATGGCAACAGCAGACATGGAATTCATACACCAGATGAACAGTTGTATTCTGGGTCAATGAAGAGATCCTGTCTCAAAAAACAAATGGCTGGCATCAGATATTAACCCTGTGTATAAACAAACATGCATGTAGCTGGGTGGTGGTGGTGCACACCTTTAATCCCAGCACTTGGGAGGCAGATGCAGGCAGATCTCTGTGAGTTCAAGACCAGCCTGGTCAACAGAGTGAGTTCCAGGACTGGCTCCATAGCTACTGAGAAACCCTGTCTTGAAACAAACAAACAAACAAACAAAACGAAAAAACAAAATACATGTGTACACACATGAACACATGTGCACACATACACAGAAATGTTGGTTTAAAATGCTGGCATTGATAGCACAGTATTGAACTCCATAGAACGGCAGAGAAGTCATACCACATCTGTTGAAATAGGGCTGTATGATGATATTGAAGCCACAGAGGGGCAGGCTCGGTAGGGCCTCAGTCAACTACCACAGGCTGGGTAGCTTAGACGGCAACAATTGTTTCCTGCTATTCTTCCGATGGGAACTCTGAGCTGAATGTGCCAGCATGGTCTGGTTCCGGGGAGGCCCTTCTTCTAAGGTGGTAGACGGCCTACTTCTCACTGTGTTCACATGGTGGAGAGAGCAAAGGAGATCTCTGGTGTCTTTTTTATAAGGGCACTGACCCCATTCACAAGGACCCCACCCTCTGAATCTGATTGGCCTCCCCAGTACCCTAGCTTCTAGAAGCCTCATATTTGCTGTTATGATTTTAATATAAAACACTGCAGGGAGGGCACATTCAGTCCATTGCAGAGAAAAAGATGGTTTGAAGAAAATTGGTTCATAGTATTAGGGGTGGTAGAACCTGCCACTATTTAATACCAGATCTCTAAGTAGGCCCCCCATAGACTAAAAACACTCCGTATATGTCTTGGTTTTTTTTCCCCATTGTTGTGACAAAATGTCATGGAAAAAACACCTTGGAGGGGAAAAGGTTCAGCACTAAATCCCAGGTTACAGTTCATCATGGTAGTGAAATCAAAGTGGTAAGAAACTGAAGCCGCTAGTCACAATACATTTACAACCCAGTGCAGAGGGCAACAAATCAATGTATTCCGCGTCTACACTCTGCTCCCCTTTGCAATGTCCTTTTTCACTTTCGTTTTTATTTTTCTCTGTGTGCATGTGCACCTGCCATGGCGTAATGCGATCAGAAGACAACTCGTGGCGCTTGGTTTTCTCCTCCCGCCATGCATTTCCCAGGAACTGAACTCGGGTTGTTAGGCTTTGAGGCACAAGTGTCCTTACCAACTGTGCTGTCTAGATGGCACCCTTTCCATACTCCTATACAGTTCAGATTCTTCTGCCTAGGGAATGGCGCCACCCATGGTGTGGGTGGGATCTTCTCACCTCAGTTGACGTGATGAAGATAATTCCCCATAGACACGCCCACAAGGCCAACCCAATCTAGACAGCCCCTCAGGGAGACTCTCATCCAGGGCGTTTCTAGATTTTGCTGAGATGATCACTAAAATTGACCATCACATCATGAGAGGTAAAACTGCAAAAGAGGCTAGCTCTGTGACCCGGGTGTAAGGAAGAATGTCTTTGGACTGTAAGTCCAAAACTCAGTGAGTCTGTCCACACTTGTTTCTCACTAATGGATACCAGCGGCAAAAACCTGCAGGTAGATGCAATGCAGTGAGAGGACATTGACAAAGCCTAGGGACAGGTAAGTGTTTAATGTGCTGCACTCACAAGGGAACTCTTGTAAATCAGGGGAAAAACCAGGATCAGAACAGGACCAGAAGAATGGGCAAGAGCTTGAACAGGAACTTTGCTGAGAGGGCCTGAGCACTTTCCGGGAAGTGCTCGGTGGGGGGGAGTTTAGTAATTAAGAAAGATCAAAGCAAAACAATGAACTCCCGTGGATGACACCTGTTGGACTTCCCAGCTCCTCTGTGCCAAGAGCAATTACTGTCAAAGACATGGGTGTGTGATAATATTAATTTCACAGGATTAGTCCAAAACAAACTAGCACAGATACTCTGCGGTATCTGGAAGCGTTCCATGAGCTAGAATTTGTATGTATATTTGGGTAGTGAAATCCCATGCCTCGGTATGGAAGACCCAGGCAGCTAGGGAAGCTCTCGTGCAGACCCAGGCGTCCTGGCTCATGCGGCTTACCCTGGTAATTATTCACAATGCCTCCATTTATCCAGTTGGACAGTGCACAGCCTGATGTCTTTGAGTACTAGACAGCACCATGGTTACTCTAGTCCCCGGAAAGTGGCCCCTTTCCCCTCCTACCAAAGTCTAACTCTTCCTCTGACCCCAGCCTGTGGCTGTCTCGGACCCTCTCTCTCCCTCACTGTCACAGAGAGCGAGCTCTGTTGTCCTGTGATTTCATAATGCGAAAGAGAGCCTCGTCTATAATGGGAAAAGAGGCGGTCAATCGTTTAAGACCCCTGAAGACAAGGCTGGGAGTGGTGGGGCCCCCCTTTACTCCCGCACTTGGCAGGCAGAGGCCAGCCTGCTCTACACGGTGAGACCCTGTCTCAAAAACCAAACCAACAAACAGAAAAAGGCACGGGCATGAAATCAGACTTCATCTGGGCTATTCGTATTTCATTGCTTCCTCTGGCTCCCAGGTAACCCCGAACACCTAGCTAAGTCACCTTTGCCAACCAAGGGCTGACATGGGAAAGGCTCCTTCCCGTCAGAGGGCCTGTGTATACAAAAGCAGCTGCACTTTTCATTCCAGAAGAGGCTTTGGCCCTCTCTGGGAGAAAAGAGATACTAGTGTAGAGATGGCTGCGTACTGGGGTAGGGTGGGGGTGGGGCTGATTGGAGCTCCTCTCCGCTCCAGGTGCTCCTGTCTCCGCCCAACCAGGTGACTGCCAGCGCCAATCCCAGCAGTGCTGGAGTTGACTGAACTGTCAGAGTGAGGTGGGTGCAGTGTCTTTAAAAACATTTTGTGGTCGGTCGACGGGATGGCAACTTTAAGACCCAGTGCCCACCCAGGTGGTGGTTGTGATCCTGTAAAAGGTATTCTCCCTCTCCCCACCCCTCTTTCCAAACTGCCCGTCTGTTTGGAGTAGTGGGGCTGAACATTCCGCTCCTAGCCCAGGAAGACTTCGGGTGTCTGAGAGGCACCCCTCTTTCTGTTCTCTCCCTCCGGGGTCCTTGGGAATGGATGGCATGTCTCAGGTCTCCTCTCATGGACCTATGAATTCCATTGCCAGCAGTCTCGTGTCCCAGGTCTGGCGCTTCCTGGGCTGTGGACATGAAGAGGTTACTCCAGCCCTGGAGCCTGCTGGGCTGAGTTAGCACTTCCCCTCCACATTCAGGAGCTCTCCAAGCAACAGCCCCTTTTGCATCACGGAAAGGGGGGTAGCAAAACGGGCTAGGGACACCCGCTGCAGTAAGTCGCATGCAGCAGGAGCTCTGTCAGCATGTGTCGTTCCGCGGCTTCCCACTGCCAGGCCAGGTTGCGGAGAACTGAACGGCAAAGGCATCTGGGGAAGTGAAGGATGAGCCAGCGACGACGGTGGCCCCCAGCTGCCGAGCGCCCGCTCAAGCTGCAGCGCACACCTCTTGCTATCTTCCCAGGCTGCAGCGGTCCCTGGGACCCAGAAGACCCTGGAGCCGCGGAGATCCAGCCAGCACTCAGGAGCCCAGGACTGCCGCCTGTGAGGCCAGCTCCCCAGGGAGCCTGGGCAGCGTTTTGCTTATAACTGGTTGCTGGGACGCAGCCGGACTGGAGCCCTCTTTAGCCAGCGTGGCCCAGGGCTGAGCAGCAATTTGTCTCGAGTCACAGGAGAGGCCCATCCATATCCAGGCTCCTTTTCTGAACAGAGGAAGTAACTCCAGTCGGGGCACCTTAAATTGGGCTCTACAGCTAAGCCTTGCAGCTCCCCAGGCTTGCAGAACCTTCAGGGTATCAGCATTTCTCACCTAGCTGGGCTCTGAGAAAAAAACTGCAAGAAACAGAACAGAGTGCTGAGGGCAAGACGCCTTGCAAACTTTGGAGGGGAGGACATTGTTTTTGAAGGGGACAAGTGGCTCCAAATCTGCTAGTGCTCTTGGGATTGTGATAAATCCTGCTGGTGGGACACCAAGCATCCCATCACAGCCACAAGACCAACAGCAAGGACCTACGGCCATGGAGACCGTGCTGACAGCATCCAGTTCCCCCACGGGCCGGGTAACCTTCTCCCGTGTCTTCGGCCAGCAGTGCCAGCTGATGGAAGCAGGTAGGATGTGGCCAGAGGATGGGAAGCAGTCTTCTGGTAGTGGAGGTCTGTTAGTGTGTGTGTGTGTGTGTGTGTGTGTGTGTGTGTGTGTACACACATGCATGCATGTACAGCTGTCTGATCTTTCTCCATGTTATTCTGAGTGAGACTAACCTGGGATGTGATAGCTGACACTTGTCACTTTAAGTGGTTAACTTTTTAGGCCTGACTCTGAGACTTGAAGCTACCCCGGGGGCATGAGGCATGATGAGCGAGAGTCCCTGTTTCTCTTTTTGTTTGTTTTCTCTGGAGGGGAGCTGTGCCCAGAGAGATAAGGTAGAGCGCTGAGTGCACCCACCTTTTGGGGACAACTGTCAGTCAGTCCTGGACGAGTTGCCTTTCTGTCCCTTGCCTCTGATCCCAAGTGCTGCAGCAGCCATGCCTGAGGCTCTGTTGGAGTGGCTTCAATGCCCACATCGCATCTTCTCTGGCGCCTGACTCCGCTAGGGGATCTCTCGGGCTGCCTTTGCTCATAGGTCTGTCTGGTGTTTTAAGAAGAAGGGGAGAGTTGCCATCACTGAAGTCACAAGCTATGCCAGCCACCTTGTTAAGGTGTGCATTGGTCACAAATTCAGGTCGGGCACGGGTAGATGGCTCTGTGTGGAATGGTCCCCGAGCGGGAGCCCACAAATGATACTTCAGGTGCGACATCAGAACTCGTGTGCTTGTTCCTCTGCTTCTATTTGTTTATATTTTGATTGAGGAAAGAACTGAGTTTGAAGTATATTTGTGTATTTTGCCTTGCGTCTCAGGAAGATGTTGGGAAGACCACTGTCTTAGGAGTCGGGCTGAGTCATGTGGACACTTTCATGGGTGATCCCAGGACCTTGGGATGATCCATCTCTGGGATATATCACTCTAGGTACAAAAACTAACAACTAGACTCAGGCTTTCCTGTTCCGCCCAGACCGAGGGCTCTGTGCTCTCAGGAGTGCTGCTTGGGAGAGGTGTCAAAGTCCTGCTCGTTTCCAAGACAGGATGCACAGAGAAGCAACTTGTGGCCTGTGCGGGCTTCGAGCTGGACAACCGAGGTTGGAGTCCCAGCTTTGCTTTTATAAGTTGTAAGTTGCTTGTCCTCAGACAAGATCTCTAGCATCCCCGTGCCCAGTCTTCTCATCTGTAGGGTGGAGGATACCAGGCAGCTTCGCATGGGGTCGTTGCAAAGGTGAAATAAGTTAGTCCATGGTGGGCACCGTTGTATAGGTTTGCGTGGATTTCTTGCTCTGCAGGGAGGGCTCAGTGAACTCCATGGGAGGAAATAGAAACGCTGAACATTCCTGTCTGCCCTACGGCAGAGATTGAGAAACTCCCATTCCTCCATCTGTCTGTGGAATATTTTATCTAGGAAGGTGACTTCCTTCCAGGAGAGCTGAGACTTGTCCTGCTTCTCTGAGGTTGCTGGGGTAAGGCTGATTAGATTTCTAAAGTGCCTGGGTCCCCTGGGGCTTTATCCTTCCTCCTTCTCAAGCACCCTGACCTAAATCAGGCCATGAGATCCTCAGTCTCCTTTGTGAAACAAAATAAATAAATAAATAAATAAATAAAAAATAAAAAAAAAGAGAAATAAAACACCACCCAAACTCCCCACCTCCTTATGTCGAGAGAGCGCTGCAAGATAAAATAACAGTGGCTAGTCCTCTCTAGGGAGGACTCTCTCCCGGAAAGAACACAGGAAGGAATCGTTAGCCTGTAGTCAAAGAAGCTCACTAAATTAGGAGGTGGAAGGGATAAAGAGAAGCCCTGACTTCTCTCCAGCCATTTGTAGTCAGTATCATAAAAGAGAATGTGAACGTATGTTCGAACGACTTGCCGACTCCGTAGCTTGGCAGCTGGGTTAGTCATGGCTGTTCCCCAGGGAACAGCAGCTGTCAGCCCCATATATTCTTGAGGTGTTCCCCGTGTGCTAGCCATGGTGCCAAGACTTGCAGTATCTACAGGGTGAGGTATTGTCCTGGCTCAGGGGATGCTGGTCTGGCTGGCAGTAAAAATAAGTTATGTTGAGGAAATGAGACACTCTGGTTTCTTAACTATGCCAATTTCCTGGCCACCCTCCTTCTATTTGATGAAAACTATTTTCCATAATAAAAGAAGAAAAAAAAAACCTAACCAATTCCCACAGGCAAAGGAAACACTCAAGGTAGCCTGCAGGTTCACAGCCACGCCATTTGGGAATGAAATCTTTTTTTTTTTTTTTATTGTTGTTCTTTGGTTTTTCGAGACAGGGTTTCTCTGTGGCTTTGGAGCCTGTCCTGGAACTAGCTCTGTAGACCAGGCTGGTCTCGAACTCACAGAGATCCGCCTGCCTCTGCCTCCCGAGTGCTGGGATTAAAGGCATGCGCCACCATCGCCCGGCTGGGAATGAAATCTTTGGAGTCATGCTTAAAGCCTGTGATGGTAACCTCAAAAAGATATGTCCCTGATGGTGATGCTGGTTAGCTGTTGACAACCATAAGTAACTCCTGTCAGGCTTAGGGGAAGAAGGTGTGTCTTGGAATGAAGTAGTAAGGATCTATAATAGGATATGGTGTGTGTGTGTGTGTGTGTGTGTGTGTGTGTGTGTATAGGATATGGTGTGTGTGTGTGTGTGTGAATAGGATATGGTGTGTGTGTGTGCACATGAGTACACGAGTGTGTGTGTGCACAAGTGTGTGTGTGCATATGTGTGTGTGTGTGAACATCAAGGATTTTGGAGATGGGGGTAGATTTTTGGCAACAAAAGTGACACTGGGCCTGAGTGAGACTCATATAATCCTGACCCAGTGAACCCCAGTCATTATATGAAGGCAGGCTTGCATGTAGAAAGAACATAGACTTCTTATTCATTTAGTTCCAGTTCAGTAGTTGCTAGCTGTATAAATTTTATAAACTCCAAAACTCTAGAGCAAACACTGGCATACAGCACCTCTAGGGCCAAATCTGTCCCACCACACTTCCTTTGGTAAATAAAGTTTTATTGACACACAGTCATACATACCCATTCAAATACTGTACATGCTGCTTCTGTGCTACAGTGGTAGAGCTGAATAGCTGTGACCAAGACCATGTGGTCTTTACCACTGAAAATACTGTCCAGTTCTTCATAGAAAAGCACTTTGCTGACTCTTGCTGTCTTAGTCAGGGTTACTATTGCTGTGATGAAACACTGTGACCAAAAGCAACCTGGGGAGGAGAGGATTTATTTGCTCTACTCTTCCACACCCATGGTTCATCACTGAAAGAAACTGGGACAGGAACTCAAGTAGGGATGGAACCTGGAGGCAGGAGCTGATGCAGAGGTCACAGAGGAGTTCTGCTCACTAACTTGTTTCTCATTGGCTTGCTCAGCTTTCTTTTTTATAGAACCCAGGACCACCATGGGCTGGGCCCTCCCTCGTCAATCACTAAGAAAATGCCTTGCAGGCTTTTTATTGTGGTCCAATCTTACGGAGGCATTCTCCCAGTTGAGTTCCCTCTTTTCAGATGACTCTAGCTTGTGACACTGGCTGTAGGGCAACAGATGTGACAGAGTGGCATAGACCCTGCTCAGGCCTGGGAGCTTGGCTCTGACTGGTGCTTCCTTGTGGAAACCTTTGATGTTGCAGGCTACCTTTGTTCCCTCACACCCTCTGCACCTGCCCATTATCACACTGCTGGTTTAGGAAACAGTCACATGGATGCGGAGGCCGTCGTGAAAATATAGACATGTGTCCAGGTCCATAGCCCCTGAGCTAGAGCCCCATCTTCACAGCCTATTTCCCAGTCAATAGTTAAGGTTTGGATATTGGATGAGTTTGCACTTAAACCTCTCTTAGCCTCATTCTAGATCGTATGCTCAAAATGGCCGCGTCAAGGGCTAGAGAGGCGGTTCAGTCATGGGGTGTTTGCCTACCACATGCAGGGACCAGGATTCCATCTCTAGCACCATATGAACCAAAAGAGATAAAACACCATTTCTGCAGATTCTTGGAACTGTGTCAGGTCTTGCCAAAGATGTTGAGGGGACCTTTGGGCGGGGGGGCTTGATGCTGTTGTGTACCTTTGCCCCTCACCATGGTCCTTCATCTCACTCCTGATGCCTGACCCCACGAAGGTGCTAGGTTTGGTGTGTGTGTGTGTGTGTGTGTGTGTGTGTGTGTGTGTGTGTGTGACAATTATGTCTAACTCCTCACACAGGGATGTTCTTTTCCTGTTTCCTCTGAGCCTCTTACAGTAGGTGAGAGGTTAGCATGTCTACTCCGCTGTGGTAGGTGGAAGTTCCCTCCTTCCTGCCTGGCCTCCTCCGGATGGGAGCAGAAGGCCTCACTCCCATCGGGCGTGGGCTATCATTACCCAGCATCAGTCTGCGTTCTGATTGCTCTTTAACATTGCACCGAGGATGCTGGGGGAAGTCTGATGGGACAGACAGAAAGTGTCTTCTTCATTTGGTGTGGCTGAGCCGTTGGCGTCTTGTGTGTCTGGTCACTGACCTGCAGAGTGTGTGACCAGACATGCCTCTGACTCTGTGTTTGGGTGTTTTTACTGAGGGCTGTTGACCTCCTCACCCCCGCTCTGTGTGTGTGTGTGTGTGTGTGTGTGTGTGTGTGTGTGTGTGTGTGTGTGTGTACAGGTGTATGTACCTGTGTACATTCTTCTTCAGGGTCTATCTACCTTGATTTTGAATATTTATTTATTTACTCATATGTATACAGTGTTCTGTCTGCCTGTATGCCTGCAGGCCAGAAGAGAGCACCAGACCTCATTACAGATGGTTGTGAGCCACCATGTGGTTGCCGGGAATTGGACTCAGGACCTTTGGAAGAGCAGGCAATGCTCTTAACCGCTGAGCCATCTCTCCAGCCCCTCTACCTTGATTTTGAGACAGAGACACTCACTGATCTAGAGATCACAGATGGTAGAGTAGGTCAGACTGTCAGTGAACTCCTGGGATCCGCCTAGCTGTGCCTCCCAACACTGAGTTTATGAGCATACAGCACCGTGTGTAG